CCCACTTCACAGTGAGGAGGTTGAGACTCGAAGGGTGAGCCTTGGGTCTCCGAGTTGCGGTTTGGACTCTTCCCGGGACCCTGTGCTCCGTGTGCTCGGGGCCGGAGGGACTCCCGGCCCTGGGGAACCCGCCTGTCCTTGTCCCAGGCATAGTGCCCGCACTCTTCGCCGAAGATGAGAAGGAGACCATCCTCGGTCAGATTGACCAGGAGGCGCTGAAGCAGGGGGTCAGCCCGGCCAAGGAGTCCGTGTGGCAGTACTTTGTGAACAAGAGTGCCAACAACCTGCACATCGTCCTGGGCATGTCGCCCGTGGGGGACGCCCTGAGGACCTGGTGCCGGAACTTCCCAGGTGCGCTCGGCTGAGCCTGCAGATCCGTGCGCCTCCTTCAGCAGGGCCTGTGCCTCGGGGAGCGATGCACGGCCTGAGGCTCCACCAGCAAGTGAAACACTGTGTCGTGGGTTGGGATTCGGACTGTGCAGTGTGGGGCCAGCAGGTGTCGCCCGTGCGTGTTGTCCCCGGCGGGAGGGAGGATGATGTCCTACAGCAGGACATGCTCACAGTCCCAGGGCGAGGCCCCGGGTGGGCTCAGCAGCACTTCTGCTGCCTCCCCTGTGCCAGAATCGTGCCAGCCTGTGGGAGGTGCAGTGCCCTCGGGCACGCTGGGTTGTCAGCGCTGGGCTGGCAGGTACACCACCGAGAGAGGCCAGGGGGCTGCAGACAGCCTGGTGCCCAGACTGCCCACGTGTCAGCAGTGCTGGGCTCGCACAACCCGCTGCGGCTGAGTTACTCTCGGGCACCTGTTTGTTGGGGACGGAAGATGTGTCGGTGTTGAGGGTCCGGGTTGCACAGCGACCCTCTATTTCTCTGCTTTCAAGGTCTGGTGAATAACACTGGCATTGACTGGTTCATGCCCTGGCCGCCCCAGGCCCTGCATGCGGTCGCCAAGTCATTTTTAGGTAAGTGGGAGCTAAGACGGGGACCACGTTAGTGGTATAACTAAGTTTGTCACCGCCTTCTTTTAACACATGGTGGACCCGTAGTTTTATTGCTAGCTTTACCCAGTGGTCAGATAAGCTTCTATCAATGAGTACAAAAAGCATTTTACATAAATGTTAAAGGCACGCCTTAAAATTAAATAACCATTGCATTTTGAAGTTATTTATTACATGTTCTTTTGTTACAAGCTAGTATCATTTTAAAGCATGAGACTTTGTAAAACACTGTAATATGAAACGAGAATTCTCATAATCCGTCCGCAATGTGTTAAAAAATATTTTTATTGATTTCAGAGAGGAAGGGAGGAAGAGGGAGAGAGAGAACCTTCAATGATGAGAGGGATCATGGATCGGCTGCCTTCCCCATGCCCCACACTGGGAATCGAGCCTGAAACCTGGGCATGTGCCCTGACCAGAATCAAACCATGGCCTCCTGGTTCACAGGTCGAGACTCAGCCGCTCAGCCTGCCAATCTTCCTAAACATCAATGGAGAGATCCTCGGGAGAGGATTAGCAACTAGGAGTCAATAAATAAAGTGTCACCTTGTAAATACCTAGTCAGCAAACTAGTCGCTGTTGTGAGGAGTGCAGGTGGTGGGAGAGGCCAGGAAAGGAGCCTTGCGGAGTGTGGATCAGCACCAAGGCCCGGCGGGGCCACCAGCAATGACAATGGCTCTTGTTCTTCCAAAAACATTTCATATCACTTTTTTGGTGGTAAAATATATATAACATAGAAATTGCCTTTTAAACCACTTGTAAACACACAGCTCAGTGGCATTAAGCACGTTCACATTGTGCCGCCAGCACCACCACGTCCTGAACGTTCCTCCTCCTGTGACACTGACACTGTGCCCGTTCAGCTCCGAATCTGTCCTCCTCCCTCCCCCAGGTCCCCGTCACCGCGAATCGCTTTCTGTCTCCCTGAACGTGCCTGATCTAGGTATTTCGCATAAGTCCAGTCACACACGCTTGTCCCTCTGCCTGCTCTCAGGTAGCAGGCTTCCGGGCGAGCCTCCCTCTTTAAGGCTGATTAACGTGCCATGGCGTGGATGGACCCCATGTTTATCCGTCGTCCGTGGGTGGACACTTGGGTCACTTCCGCTTTGGCTGTGGTGACTCATGCTGCTGTGAACATCAGTGTCGGAGAATCTGTTTGTGTCGGCTTTCACTTCTGTGGGGGACACAGCCAGGAGCGGAATTGCTGGGTCCCGTGGGAATTCTCATTTCACTTTTCAAGGAGCTGCTCTTGTCCTTTCGTGAAGAGGCACGTTTTCCGTCCCTCCCTCCGTAGGGCCTAATACGATGATCCCAGAAGAACACATAGAAGATCTGGTGGAACATGTGGTTTTGGTGCACGGATCCGTGGGTGAATTCAGCAAACAATTTCTGCAGAAGTTGAGGCGCAGCAACTACGTGACTCCCAAGAACTACCTTGACTTTATTAACACGTACTCGAAACTGCTGGACGAGAAAACCCAGAATAACATAGGTGAGCCTGGGAGCGGGTGCTACAGGCGTGTCATCATTTACGGCGACCCAGACCCCAACCTTGTGTAAGCGGCACTGCTTAGTGAGGTCAGGCGTGCGCAGGACCCTGGCGGAGCGAGACCCAACTGGGGTTTGCTCTCCAGGGGGCTCTCCTGTGGGCAGGGGCCTGCCCGCCTGACCTTTCCTTCCGGTGCTGGGCTGTGAGCCTGCTCAGCTCTACGTGTCCCTGTCCTGGAGAGACTGGGCGGCAGCAGTGCGCTCTGCTGGCGGATGCTTCTAGTTTCTGATTTATTTCTTATTGAAAAAGACGAGCCTAAAGCAGAGGTAACGTATACATTGTGCAAAGGTTAAAAGTCAGAGGTAGGGAAGGGAAATTTAAAATCGCTCCTAAAAGTTTTGCACAGAGGTCATCTCTACCTGAGTTTGTTTAAGTCCTTTCGTGCTTTTTTTGTTGGGAAATGCTTTTTCAAAAATGCCGTGACCCTTGGCCAGACCAAGGGCTGTTTTCAGAACTAAGTTCATTTTGGCCGATGCCATCCCAACACCTCTGGCGGTGGAGGTGCCGCGCGATGCTTGACATTTCATGAGAAGGCTGTTTCCCCGCGGGCCCAGGTTGGCCTGGTGCTGCGAGGCTGCTGGTGTGCCAGCCCGGGTGCTGGGAACAGCCGCCTGGCTTCTGGACGCCGCTCTCTGCCCCCAGCTCAGTGCAAACGGCTGGAGGGCGGGCTGGACAAGCTGAAGGAGGCCTCCATTCAGCTGGATGAGCTGAACAGGAAGCTGGCCGAGCAGAAGATCGTGCTGGCCGAGAAGTCCACCGCCTGCGAGACCCTGCTGGAGGAGATTGTCACCAACACGGCCATCGGTGAGTGCGGCCGGGCGCGGTGGGGGCCCCCACAGCAGGCTGGCCTCCTCCAGAGGCCTGGGCATTCCTCAGTCATAGATGCATCCCCCC